TATATCGTATGTCCACGCTATTATGTGAAACGTTTCCCTGTACATGTAGACAGGCTGCAATAAGGCTGATTGACCCTCAATAAAAATCTAAATCTAAGAAAACATACAACTAAGCCACTGTTCAAGGGTGAGAAGTACAGTAATGTGGAAATAAGATAATTCTTGACATTGAAATTTTTTCTGAAGCTACAGAAAGACAAAGTATGATATGTAAAGTTAAAAGATGAAATTGTATACCCATGTTATGTAGATAACTGGTGTCATGTGAGAATTAATATGTTTAGAACAGAACCACATTTTACTCACTTAAGGAAAGCGGTTACATACAGCTTGAGGTTCTTGTTATTAAGAGTGCTCCTTATTCGCTCCTGGAACTCCACCATCACTTTATCCTTGTCTGAATTTGCATCATTCACGATTTGCTAGAAAAATAAATCATTATATTTAATGAGAGATAAAATAGAGACAATATTAGCGTCATTATTATGAACAGATCTTGAAATAAGTGTTTAGTGTGTGTAGTTCAGAAAAAGGGCCGATGCAAAGGCCATGCAGATACAGGACTGTCTTTAGGAAAAAAAGATGAGTTAAACAGTTCGCTTGTTCCCCTCTCAAATGCCTGGGAAAATATAACACACGTTCCCATGCCCAAATGTCATTATAAGAAGAAGTTGTCAGATGTGAGACATAACATTTACTTTCTGTTGATTCTCCAGGTTGCTTATTCCCCAGTAAAAATCCCAAATACAATCTTCCTTTTTCTTAAATCCTATGTGATGTATACATTGTATAGATTAATTATTCCAAGGGATAATATGGCACTACTCTACATTTCTTGCATACAGCCAGGGGTCAACAAATCTTACACTTATTTTCCAGTCAAATAAAATCATCAATGACATGCTTGTACATCCTGATAGATGAATACAGCTGCATACAACACAAACAAAATACTTCCCATGGATGAGCAAATTAGAGCATTTGTTGAGCTCTGGTTTGATTACATGACTCTACAACTACTGGTCTAGGTGCTATATAAAAATAGACGGTCAAGATTGCAAATCATGAGTGAAATTACCTCGGCAATTATCTGAAGCATTATTTGGAAAAGAGAAAAATACATGAAAGAAAATATTACAACATTAATCACAAAATCAAACTACAATAGTATTAAACCGTACACACAATTAAATTAGACAACAGTATACACACACTCGTTAACATCATGGTACATGCCACGTTCATATACATTTCATTCAGGATCAATTAATTCGGGTGGAAATTCTAAACATTGCATTCAATACTTTTTGCCATAATAAACAGTGACTCAGTTCAGCCTTACAGAAGCCCATATTTTTACACCCTTTTGGCACACAGAAAATGTTTTTTTCTACATAAATGCCAGATCTCCTGCACATTTCGGTCACAGAAGTGACAAACTATGGTCATATTTATAGACGGGTTTCAAAGGTCCAACTATTTACCCAATTTGTAGTTTTGTAGTTTTGTAGTTTAATTGCGTCATGTTTGTGCTTAATTCAGTAATATATTTATTTATTTCCGTCAATACACAAACTTAGTTGTAGCGATGATAAGCGCCAAATTTTAAAGTTTAGCTTTAATAACACCAAGTTTAACAACTAAGTTTGTGTATTGATGGAAATAAATAAATATATTTACCCAATATTGAAAATGTTGAAATAACATTACAGAAAGTGTTTCTTCTCAAAAAAAAAAAAAATGCAGACTTAAAACAAAGTCTGTCGGTTTGTGCAGCTCACACATTGCCCTGATGATGGTGGCAGAAAGTACCTCTGGACTGTGAGCAAACTTGTACCACACTACGTGGCGCTACAACGCAGAAGACAGTCACCTTCACACTTGCTGCTGTGAGAAACTTTACTTTTTACATCTTGACAATCTTTCTAACTGACAGCATTCCACAGATAAATTCCAGAAACAAATGGCCTTCATATAATATCTAAACTTACAAACATGGTCATCACAGGATGTAAAAATCATCCCATGCACAAAATACATTCTGAACACAAATAAATACATTATCAAGGTATATGTGTGAATGGATTCTGTCTACATTGGAGATTTAATGCTGTTAAAAACAAACACCACAACAGCAGTGGCGGATTTTAAAAATTAACACACTAAAAAAATACATCAAACATTCACTGTTCTGATAAATGTACAATTACTTACATGTCCAAATTTGTGGAATATCAAATACTCTTCAGCGGACTGGCTCATCGATCCACTTCCTTTCCAGTTTACAAACTGAAAGTAACAAATAAGAATTAGGATTGAGACTATTTGTTGGATTTTGTGAATAAGGTAATTCACCCCAAATTTCCATAAAAGATTGGGAATTCTTTGACTAGCTAAGTCACTACAGCTTCTCGTGAAGGTTAAGATGCCCCTGTACCAAGATATTAATATGTATCTATATAGTGGACATTAAAACTCCATGTATTGTCACTCAATATAAATAGAAGATAATTATTAAATCGGTACAGACGTATGAAGTGGGTTTACCTTGTTCTTGAAATTTTCTATGACAGAAGCTGCACTACCTGTGCAGTTGATAAGAATGAGACCCAGCACACGTGAGGGATTGGCGATCCCGAACCTGGCGAGAACGTTCGCTCCGGCTCCTTCGCCCAGACCGATCACGTACTTCACGTGTAGGAAGTCGAGCACCGTGCCCAAGTCTTCTCCAAATGTCTGCAGTATTGGAAACTGAAAACTAATGAGAAACAAATAAAATTACATATTTTAATTCTTAACACATTCAGACCCAGATAGAAATTCATCAGACCGCCCTTTCAGATAAGAACATGCATGAAGCAGGAAGAATTTTAAAGCATGTATCAACACACAGCATCACTGTTTCATTGACCATAATTATTCCTCCAAACTGTTGGCAATCTACTTACTAGTCTAAAAGGTGCCAAAACCCAGAAGAACATCATAAACCAGACATTCCTGACTCTTCTACACACCTGTCTGGAAGATCTGGAGCATTATCTTCGTGGCCTGGAGCATCAATGTGGATGAAGATAGACCTGTCTTTAATTTCACACATACAAGGGTGATTCACAAAGTCATGGAATGATGAATCTGAAATTTCAGAATATATCAGACACGCATTATAAAATGGTTATTCGTGCACAGTTAATATCAAATCTGGCCACGTCGTAGCAATTAACAGAAAGCTGCTATTGAACGAAGCAAACGAAGCAAACTGTACGCTACTTACGATTACACCCCAAGTCATGAACTGTAAGAAAGACTGCTTTCTTGCCTTGTTGGTTCAGGTCACCCTGTAAAAAAATAAGTACATTCTAGGTGCAAGTCACCAAAATGGGAAAAGTTTTGCAAAAAAATTTGATCAGAACAAATGTTTTTGAGCCTAAAATCAAGATGCCTTGGTTTTATGGACAGTTCATTTATTGGCGATGCAGCTTGGACTTTTACGAAGCTAAGATACCAACGTTTCGGAGAAACACGCTGCCTCCATCTTCACGGCTTACACGGAGGTAATATGTTAGTATCCACCTGCAAGTCCATACGTCGATACAAACAAAAAGATCAAAATTGACAGCTGTAACATTTGTCGAAACCTCAATTCTCACGCGGCTGCCATTTTATTTAAATTCCTGCTCCTCAGATCTCGTCTCCTTTCTTTGACGCCCATTCTTGTGGATTCACTTGCCTGCACATGCACGTGAAGATCGCCACATCGTTCCGTTGTTACGATGTATTTCTGCAAAAAGAATAAAAAAATTAAATTAAATAAAACATTTAAGTTGTGAAAACAGAGAGCCACACGATTATATAAGAATTTTTGTTTTCCACTTTTGCACGTCGAGCAGGTTACCTATCCTCATGGGATCGCCATTAGTGGGCTTTATCTGACGCCACGGATTATGCACCTCGCTTCCTGAAGATGGCAGACAGAACCAGTGCCGAAACGCAGTAAACTTTAGAAACGTAAATTTTTATATTGTTGTAACTAACTTCAAATAACACAAAATGGACGACGATCAAACAGAATATCATCATGGGAAATGTATCACAGCGGTGAAGAGACTGGTGATAATCTTGTGGGTTCTAACTCTCTGAAGACAGAGACAGTATTTTACTCCGAAACGTTGATATCCACCTACAATTTCACATGACGTTACAAACCAGATGACCAACATTGACAAAATGTCATGATAATATTAAGACACAAATGTAAAAAAAAAAAACTGACGAATGACGACAATGCATTAATATTTACATCATGGAGAACAGCATAAAGAATATTCCTCCTTGAGAGAGCAGAATCGATAAAAAGTTGAATATTTAAGCATTACTAAGCAAACACAACTGAAGAAACGATCTCAGTAATGATGAAGTATTGGGTTTGCTTTCAAGTACAGGATGACTTTTTTTATACATTACTTAAACGGTCATGGGGCCATTTAGAGAATTTATTTAGTAGTAAGAAAGTCGATAAAATGGCGGTTTCCAGATGTAACGGAAATTCAAGTTCCATAACAATTGCACAATCTTGGAAGCAGTCCAACTTCTATGTCTCTCAGAACCATTTTTTTTTATATCCGATGAATACGTATTATATTTAGAAATTAAAACATCAGTGAAGACAGATAGACAGACAGAACCAACAGTAGCGACATTCCACTGCAGAAACACTTAATGCAGAATTCAGTAACCAATGAGGCTCTCTGTTATTCGGGGAAGTTAGATTTCTTCTGCAAATCTTTAATTATTGCACCTATCATACGATTTTTTGGGAGACTCAAAACAGTTCTCTGTGGATTCCACCTTAATCGTCACCAAATCACACTTTAAACCTAAATCTCTGTAATTATAAAGTGTTGTGTTTTCTTCGAGGTACGGCCTGGATTTGGATATATCATCTGTATGAGATTTCAGCTTCAAAAAGTTACTACGGAATTCTTTTAAAAAAATTTAAAACAGTAACATGGATACCGCGCGAAATAATTTTGGCTGATAATTTATGAATAAATCTACGGTTTGATGCATTAAATCCCTTCGGAAGCCGGAAATTCCGATGAGGAGTGTTTGTAGTAATTGTTCTCAGACAGAAGTGTCTGTGCAGCGGAAAAACGGAATTGGATGCGTCACCAGCCCTATTGATCAGCGAGCGAACAAGCCACAGACAGCTCTTAGCACGAGAGGGCTCACGTCGCTAGGATGGGGATCGAACCCAAGAGCATTCATCCAACATGATCGTCAGCGTGTGTCCAAAACTGGACCGGGGGTTTCAAATCCCTCAGTTAGGATTTCCAGAGACGAATTCCAATCCATCTCAGAGAGTATTCGTGATTCTCCTGGATGCTCATCACAACACGCATCGATACCGAGAGTAATTTCCAGGGCTAGGCAGTCCCGTCCACAACGCAGATCACACATTTCGGATTTCTTCAAAAACCTTCAAAATCTATTGGTAATTATATGTACCACCCGCTTTAACAGTCAGTAACGCTGAATTGTGTATATAGTGGTTTCCTATAGTTCTCACTTTAAACAGCGATTATTTCCATAAACAGCGTTAACCAGTCGATATTTGTAATGTCGAAGTGAAGTGTTTTCTTCGCGGTACGGACTGAATTCTTATATGTTGTTCAAGCGATCTTCGTGCTTTAAAGGGCTAAGAACTGTATAGAAAAGATAAATTGTGGAGGATATAAGATTAGTTAGCCAATGATATAAGACGGGTTATATTACCTACTAGAAGAAGATATTTTCACATTACGTATCCAAAAATGAAACTGCGTCGATATTTATCGCTTTCACAAAATCTAACAGCGATACTCACACACACCCACATGTACTCAGAATATTTAAAATCGCCTTCCGAATGACAGCTGAAATTTGAACCATACGATAAGAAAAATATAACAAAACTTAACTTAAAAGACACAGTACCAAAATAACGAGATTGTTACTTTCCAAACTGCGTGGAAATTTGAACACATGGGAAAGCCAAGATATAAAATACACTATCAGGCAGTTTAAGGGATTAAGTACACTCATGAAAACGTCAAGTTTTAGTCCTGAATCACCAGAAATAGGGAAAATATAACCCGTGTTTGCATCCTGAATACAACATCGAACTGGTAGAAGATTCTCTGTTATTTTTACGATGTTCCTTTGTTCCATTCGCACTGAATCCAGGGGCAGACAGCGCCCCGTAATTTATACTGCCAAGGGAACTTAAAATATCAAAGGTCAGGCCTCGAAATTCGTATAGGTTCAGGGTCTGTGTACGTACCCAGTTTATCGACTACTTACTCTTTGAAGCCCGAGACTCCTCTAAATAATTCTACCTGAAATAAAACACTTCTCCATTACAATGATCAACTGGTTAATGATGATTAGGGAGTTAATCGTTTACAGTGAGAACCGCTCGAAACCCAAACGTACTGTTACTGAATGTTAATGTTGGTGGTATATACAGTTACCACCGAGCTTCAAAGGATTGGATGAAATATTGCGATCGAAGAGCATCCACGCCTTCAGCACACCCAAGCAAGCCCACGAGAGATTTCCTTCTCCCGACAGACGAAAGGGGGGTCTGATTCCGTTTCAACCCTCCAGCATCCAACCGGAAGAACAGGTGCTCGGAGGCGTGACGGATAACACGGATGTGCGTCACGACGTCACAATTCGTTCAGTTCATGAAATCAAATCAAACAGGATTTGAATCAGAGAACTTATGAGACCTTTGCGCAGATGAGAGGATAATATTAAAACGGATAAGAAAAACGGAAGTTTTGGACTGAGTTCAACTGGCTCAGGTACAGATAAGTGACGGGTCTCTTTTGAAAACGGTACTGAACTTTAGGGGTTCCGTAAAGATCATGGAATATGTTGACCATATGAACTACCATCAGCTTTTCAATAAGAGTTATGCTCCACAGAAATTAGTCTCCGCGGTAGCTGACTGAATATGTTGACCATATGAACTACCATCAGATTTTCAAGAAGAGTTATGCTCCACAGAAAGACGTCTGCCTTGAAACTGGAGCTATAAATATCACAATAAATACGTCAACGTTCAAGGCAAAAGCTTTAAATTGTTTCCGAAACCATTTAACAACTTTTACCTACTAATTTCTGTGGCAGATACGCACACTGCTGCTCCGTTGTTTTAAACATTTCGCAGGTCACCTACCGTGAGCTGTATCTTGGCGGGAGAACACATCCTGCAACTCACAGCACGCTTACTCACACACAAACATGACGCCAGACGCTCCTCTGTCCTCACCGAGGACCCCAAGAACCCCCCCCCCACCTCCTCTCTCCAGAACTACGCAAGCGTCGTGACGCTGTCCCTTCTAATGGCGTCCATCGTAGATGAGGGAAACGCACTCTCGATCAGTAGGGCACGTGCTGAAGTACGCGTACCTAAGCCTCCTTTTGTTTATATCGGTCACGAGTTCAACATGGGGGTCGAGATTCAGGTGTGGCACGTTGCATTACTACCGGAAACATCCTTGTCAGAATGGGCCCACGCCCTGAGTCCCTGTCCGAATAAATTATGTATATCCCAACGCGGGAACGTGACAATCTAGCCTGCGATGACGATGAGATCTCTGGTTAATACGCAAAATGGTGCCATCGCATAGCAAAGCGCTGTGTTAAATGGATGGTTCCGTTCCTTGCCATATAACCATTCGCCCTGGATGGTATATCCCATCCAATTCCGTATCCAGATATCAGAGGTGAACCAATGTCATTTTTAATGAAAAGACAACAAACCAATAAGATAAAAGTCTACAAAGTGCATATTTAACATTTTAAAATGCTAACATAATTTAAACGTCATGACTTGGTATATCAACAGTAAGGCTATTATGATTCTGCGCAGGGCAGTGCGTGTATTCTGTCAGCGACGAACTGCCTATGCAAATGTATTTATTGTATTAACATCAATGAAACATAAAAAGTGTTATTGAGAACGCACTTGGAAAATACGCGTTTGTCTGTTTCAAACTAAGAACAAACATTCCTACACCTTTTGTGGCGCAACACGCGATGCGACGCGATCTTACGCCTGCCTTTCAGCACAAAATACTTCACACAATTGCACGAAATGAACAATTCAACTCCGTCAACGAAGCCATTAAAATAATTTAAACTTCGAGCTGCAAATCCAAACTACATTTGTTTTCGCGAGTGTAAATTTTTTTTCTGAATCGACTTAACGCAACGTAAAGCTTTAGGTGTTGATCACCTTTAAAAATGTTCAAGACTCAAAAGTTCACAGGCCTGTCAATTTACGACTCCAAACCCAACAGCATCCTAAAATTTATAAACATCGCTTTCTTCCCCAGCCTTTGTAACTTCCCCTTTCACAACGACGATAATTTATTCGGGCCGATAAATCATCGCTAAACAAACAATTACGCAGAGGAAAAAACTTTCGTGAATTCTTGTAGGAACAAACCGCGCTATCGAGAAACACAAATCCACAAGTTTGACTCGAAAGCTCAACTTTAAGATACCACGGATAAAGCTACATAAGTTATTTAACTTTTGGCACTGAAACTAAACGTCGAGGGGCCCCTTGGTTCATGAGTTACGTAACAAAATATGAAGTGCTTCAC